ATGCGTGCATGCATCCGCTAAGGGCACTGGGACAGCAGTAATCTCACCAGCTCTTCTGCCTCACCGTCCCTTCAGGATTAGGCGGGTTTTCCCATCTCCAATGAAAAACCTATATTAAAAAAATAAATAAAATTAAAAAGGATAGTCCAGTGAAGTCTCTGAACCCCTGGATAAAATATCCAGACCTTCATCATATATCTCCAAGCCCAGAATTATCCAGAAAAATGACTTCCTGAGCCTTCCCAGCCTTAAGAGCCAGATCTCCTCAGGGAGAAAGAGACACTATTTCCTGTTTGGCTTCCAACCCTTTTCCTGAGGATGCTTGTTGCTGACATTCCGAAAGCAACTGACAAAGAGTGACTGGTGTTGCTTCTCACTGAGCCTCAGGATGGGTCCTGAAGGCCCCCAGGACTGTGTGTGAGCAATGGTGCAAGCAGTCTAGATCAGCCCAGCCTAATGCCTGTCCTTTCCCACTCCATGTGAGGTAGGCACTTCTACTCAATCCAGATGCTGGTCCCTGCACTAGCTTGAGAAGGAAAGGATGCAAGAAAAGAGCAGAGGCAAAGAGGTCCTGCAAAATGGAGGAAGACTCTAGGTTTTCCTACCTAGAACCTACTTATCCTTTTAATTAACATCAACCTTGTTATCTGTTTTGGGGAATACTATTCACAGTGTCTTTTAGATAAATGGCATCTCCTTGCATGCATGCTCTTGGAGAGCACCATTTATGTAGTTTCCTATGTGGGCAGGACCCCCCCAAGTTGTACTACACCCCTGTAGGGAGCTACTTCTGCCCTACTCTCAGACCTACAATAAACTGTTCAGAAAAGACTGGCCTCACCCCCACTCCTAGGTCAGGCTCATGCTGCAGATATGGGCAGTACAAGTGCCCAGCCCCAGGGCTACACTGGCTCAGAGGTGGACATTTGACCCTAACTGAGCTAGTCCAAACTAGAGAACATTAGACCCAAGACTTTGGTCATTTTTATTCATGATAGAGCATGTGTGAGAGCGAGCTGGAGAAAGAAAGATCCTCCTTAAGGCTTGTACACCGTGTAATCCTCTCCCTCCCATCCTGCACCTGCCAGGATCTTAGGCACATATACAGGTACCCAGTGAGTTTTCAGACTCATCAGCTGGGGAGGTCAAATCGTGGTCTGCAAGTGGCTTCCAGCTCCACAGACTGGTATGCTAACCAGCTGTGCCACGTGGGTTGAGCAGTGTCCAGCGTGTGGCTAGAGCTGTAATACTTCTCTACTATCAAGTTGCTGGAATATAAGCCAAGAGTGCACACCTTTGCCTTTAGCAGAGGGCCTATCTAAGCATGAAGCCCACACAGAAGAAGGTAGTGCCTATGAGAAAGAAGTCTCAAAACATTGTGTGAACACTGCCCAAAACCAGTGCTACCTGTGAGCTTTCTTTTATGTGAGTCAATAATTCTCCTTTTTGACATAAGCTGTCTTGAGATGGGTTTCTGCCACTTTCCCCTAATGGTCCTAGATAGAGCCATATTCTTTGCCCCTGAAGAGGCTCCTTCTTTCTTTCTCCAAACCCAAATGGAGTACAACTCTGCACTCTCTGGGAGCTGTCACCAGGTCCCTACCCAATGGGTCAGTGACCTTGTGTTACAACCCTACCTAATGAGCAGTCCCACAAGCAGGCCAGCCAGCAGAGGGCCCACCCAGTAGATCCAGTGGAAGTCCCAGTGGTTGGCCATCACAGCAGGTCCAAAGGCACGGGCAGGATTCATGCAGGCTCCAGACACAGCACCCCTGCAAACACCCAGTCACATGATCACCACAACCCCAACTTACTTCAAATGCATATCCCCAACTAGGCCAAGTCACACACCATCCAGAAACCCTCTCTAAGCTCCCATATCATGGGCTGGATCCTGGGTTTAAAAAAAAAATGGCGAAGAGGTAAAAGTACAGCAAAAGGCATGGTGCTTCACTGGGTGTACTGTCTGCCATTCTTCCCATCCCCTTTCATAAAAATGACTAGAAAAAAAAGCATGGTCAATGAGGGCAGGAAGAGAAAATGGATCTAGGTCCTCTCCAAAGTCTATTAAAAAAATCAAGCAGTTGTTAATCACTGTAGAGTCAAATCAACTTAGTTTCAAACCCAGCCCGACTACTTCTAGCTGTTGAGCTCCTCTGTTTATAGATTGAGATGGAAGTACCTATCCCAAATCCCAGAGGTTGTTGTCAGAGTGAATGAGAAAATTCATATGGAGCTCATGCCTCACAAATAATGAAGTACTAACTAAAATCAAACTACTCAGTGGAATCCCTTATTGCACCACAAGCTTAGGGCCAAGGATTTCCCATGAGCTTGGGGGTTGTTCTCCAGTCATACCTCTCTAGCTCCGGTGTCTGTATCCTTATCCTAAACACCAAGCTGAGATCCCATGGATCTCATCCCACCCATCATTCAATATCCTGTCAAAAGGATGTCAGTAGGTGCATAAGTCAATTAAATGCCACGAGAGGGCAGCAAAGCATTGCCACAGCTTTATGCATGCCTTCCCCAGCTCGCCCCAGCTTGCACCCCCTAAAGATGATAGAGCTAACCGTCTAGGCTTGGTTCTGTCTCCAAAAGAAAAGAGCTGGCCATTAGGAAAAAGGTCCTTCATCCCTTTCAGCAGATATAGGATCCTGGTCCCAGATCTGTCACTTAATTTGCCACTGCCCAAAGACATTACTCACTGCTGTCCTCTCAGAACCTGAGTCTCCTCATCTGTAAAATGGGAGAAATAATCCCTGACCCAACCTTGTTTTCTGAATACTTTCCCATGTCTGTTGAGAGAGTAAGTTAGACCAAATAAGTTAGACAAAAGTGATGGATTCTCTGCAGGCCTAAGGTCAAAACCTGGCTGCCACTAGCTGAATGAACACAGCTTGCAGGAATGTTTGTAATACAAAAATTTGAAAACTTCACATAAAAATTCATATTTCTGACCTTTCTTGCATGAAATTGGAAGAGTCACTCCAGGCCCAATAATCAACTGGAGCTTAAGAGCTGTAGCCTCCTTAGATATCATAGTCTCTACCACTCCCTGTTATCTGCCCAGTACCAGCCTGTTTCTCCCATTTGCAGCACCTTCCGGGCCCCCATTGACAACTGAGTCTGTGACCATTAGCACTGACCTCCTCTGGAGCAAAGCCCAGCCCAGATCTAGGCACAGTAGTCCAACTGCCCAAGGGTACTCACCCTGCCAGGATATCCACAGTGACAGAGAAGCCGATGGAAAATGGGGCCAGAGGGCCCTGTGTCTTCTCGTTGATAGCGCCCATGCATACGGCCATGGTCAGCAGCGTTGTCATAATGATTTCTGCCCCCACTGCCCCTGCCACCTGACTCTGCTCCTGGACTGTCACAAAGGCCGCCCCAGATGCATTCCAGAACCTCTCCTCAGAACTCACTGCCTACAGAGAGAGAAGCCACTCAGCCTCATGGGACAAGGAGCAGGCAGAGAGGTAGTCGGAAGCTGAGGGGATGAGGCCTAATGATGCATGCCCGCCCACCCCAAGAGCCACTGAAAGTATGTATGTCCAGTTTGCGGGTATGGATCTATATGGATCTATATCCCAGCTCCACCAGATTTTTGCTTGTGTGACTGTGTGAACTATTGGGCCTCTTTGAGCCTCATTTTGCTCATCTGAAGAATGGGGATAAACCAGAAATAGCTCCAGGTATTATGGGCCTGAAGTTTTTCTAACTTAGATGACCCTCTTTAAGGAGAATTTGAAAACATCTTAACCTTATGAACTTTGCCAGCATATCTGATCAGGTGAACACATTGCTGGGCTCCCATAGAACCTTGGATGGGACACCTACCAGGAGGGCCCAGGAGCTAATTGGGCCCAGTACCCAATTAGCTCCACCAGAAACCCCAGCACTTGCAGAGGGCAGACAGTGGGGCAATCACATGAGCTTCTGGGCTCTGGACCTAAATCTGGGTTCTGCTGCTTACCAGAGTGTCCAGACTCAAGCAAGTAACTACTTCTCAGTCCTCTGTTTCCTTGTCTATAAAATGGCGAGGGAATGAGAGCTCCTGTAAAAGGCCCTTGGCAAGCCTGGGACATAGTGAGCACTCTAAGGATCAACTATGGCTTCTCATGAAGACACTGGGAGATGAGACAAGGGAATCCATGTAAAGTGCTTAGCAAGGAAAGTGCACCTAGTAAATGGGCAGCTGCTGCTTGCAATTCTCATTATCCTGTTTGGCAGATTTCAAGTGGCAAGGCTCAAGGGAGATTCATTTTCAGTGTTTCAGAGCAGGAAGGTGCAGGCTACATTCTACAAACAGGACAACAGCCCGTGAGTCTTGCCAGAGGGGAGGCAGCAAAGTAAGATTAGAGTGAAGTCAACAACAGGCTAGCACTCAGGGTCTTTGGTCAAATACCAGCCAGGCTGACAGGGCTCTCCCACTTAACCCTGACCCCAATACACATGCCACACCAGGTCACATCTTAAAGGGCCCCTGATCATGCTAAGACTTCAGGGTAGATGAGAAGAAAGAGATACCAGAAGAAAGCAGAGGAGTCCTTAGAGCTGTGAAGAGCTATAAAATTTCCATGATTGAGGGTTGTAGTGACTGAGACGTTCGACTCCCACACAGCCTACCATAGTTTAAATCTGGACCCGGTGGCTTGAAACTCTGTGTGTGCATGCATGCCCAAAATCCCAGGAGGCAAATGAAAGGGGATTGTGGTGTGGCCATCACTCCTGGGGGACTGATTTCTTGCTTTCTCTCTCTCTCTCTCTCTGTCTGTCTCTCTGGTGAGCACACATGCCCTATACCAAAAATCTCTCTCTTAAAAATAAATAAATAAAAAGTTAATGATTGGTTGAGAGGGATGGGATGGGAAGATTCCAAACATAAACTGAACACCAGTTCCTATCCCAGTTAACTCAGCTGAAAGGCAGGCAAACCCTCTAATTAGAAAGTTTCTCAAGAATAGCTATATTGATCCTGGGTCCTCAGTCCGTATGTAGTGAGGTGTTCATAGAGTGAATGAACAAGTGAATCAATGAGTGAATGGAAAAAATGTTAGAACTACCCAATCCACTCCAAAGCCAGAAAAGGGCTCAGGAAGAGAAATGTCAAGTGCTACATTTACTTCCCTGGACACACCTGGAGCAGGTGGTGCTGCGCAGGCAAGGGCTGTGTTTAGAGATGGACAGACAACAGCAGGTTTGGAGGGGACTAGAGACCCTTGGAGGGTTCCATACCCAATGGAAACTAGCCAATGCTACTAGCAGAAATGAGCAAAGCTTCAGATGTTTCCCTATCCTCCCACATACCCCTCCTGCAGCCCCATGGGGATCACCCACCTTAGCCAAGGCAGCCCCAATCATTCCCCCACATAGTTGGGAGATCCAGTATGGAATGAGCATCACCAGGTGGAGTCCTCCAACAATCATGGCTGCCATAGACACTGCAGGGTTAAAGTGTCCACCACTGAAACCAAGAGCAGAAGGAAGTCATGAGATCAAGGGCCAGGGCTGACAGCCAGGCTGTCATCCTAGAGAATGTGCCCACCTGATGGGCCTTGTAGGACCAGAGTTAGTCCAGGGCCCAACCCACATAGAAACAGGCAGCAAATCTCTCCCATCTTCTCTGAGTGCCAGGTCGTGCAGTAGGATTTAGGGGATCTGCCCCCAGAAAAGTAGAATAAGGAGATATGAGGACACTATTCATTAGTGCCTTCCAGACTCCTTCAACTCACTCTAGCCCTTCAGAGATATGATCGTAGGTAGTCCGAGACTCCAAGACCTCATGCCACACAAGAGCCAAAGTGCCACCCCCCCCCTCGCCCCAGTTTTAACAGAACACCAGTAGGCCTGCCCATTAGTGCGTACAGGGCATTGAGCTAAGACCAGAGGACTTTGGCTCTGGGTCAAAAAAAAAAACCTTGTCCAGTTCTCCAATACCTCAAGACCAGCTGCCCCCAACTTCTCTGGTGCAGCTCCATGCCCAGGCTCTTGGCTGAGCTCATGTGTGCTTTGGAAGTACCTTTCTATAAGCCGGGAAGAGAGGCAGCTGGGCCTATGTAGCCTCAGTCAGATAGCTTAGCCCGGGTTCTGCCAAAGCGTTCACATGAATTGGGGTGGGGCAGCTTCTCAGGAGAGTCTATGTAGTTAGAACCCTCTCAGGCCATGGGCCTCCCCTTCACCACCTCACTTGGCCCAAATGGGGAGAGAGACTTCAGAGCATGGTTCAACCAGGAGAGAGCTGCATTACCTGAGGACCACAATGCTCCCCAAACGACTTCATGCTCACTCACAATAAAACAGTCAAGACACTTCCCTAGTTAATTCATTCACTGTTCACTCAGCAAATACTTATTGAATACTTACTATGTCCAGCTGCTGTGCTGGGTGCTTTAGATACCTTATCTTGAATCCATTCAGCAACCTCAAAGTCAGTGCCTAGCACACTGTAGGTGCTGAATAAACATTGTTGACAAAGCCAAAGACTGGATAAAAGGCAGCATTCATCAGTTCCTGAGAGATGGCCTCTCCAACCAGCTGTCCTGGATTGAAATCTCAACTCTGCACTGAATAGCTGTGTGACCTTGGGCAAGTTTCGTAACCTCTCTGTGCCTCAATGATTCCTATGATAAGGCTGTTGCAAAGACATAGTGATTTAATATGTGTATAGCATATAGCACTGTCTATAATTAGTACTTACTAAATACCAGCCGTTATTATTATCTTTATTTAAATCACTGCACACAGAAGTTCAGTGACTTGCCTTGGTCACCCATCTGAGAAATCACAAAGGCATTCAACCCTGGACCCATCTGAATGAAAGATCATTCTACCTGCAGCCTCCTTTGGACATTTTAAGTAATGTTAACATTCTTTCCATCCTGATTTTCTCAGAAAAAGTACTTCGCATTCCTCATTCAGATTTATTATCTGCATGAGATGAAATACAGACCAACCATATCCCAGGTACCCTGCCAGGAACTCCATGCAAGACATTCATCATCATGGTTGGTCTCCTGGGAACCCACTAACCCTTTCACCACCCCCCACCACACACGCACCTCCCCATGGAGTTCCCACCTGATGAAAGTTAAAGGAAGCTCCTCATCTTCCTTTGCCTACTCACGATCACCACTTGACAGGCCAGGATCACTTCAAGTATCTGTGTGCCCAGTGGGAAAACCCCTGGACTGGTTCTCTGCACATCTCCGCCCTCTGCCATCCCTAGAACCCTCTTTTTCTTTTTTTAGAGAGAGGTTTTGAGGTTTTTTTATATAGGGCACATGCACTCACCAGAGAGACAGAAAGCGAAAAATCCCCCCACCCAGGGGCCATCGCAATGCAACAGTCTCCCCTCCACCATTCTCTTCTAGAGATTTTGGACATGCACACACCTACACACACACCTGGCATGAGTTTTATGGCAGCTGGGTCTGTGACTCGAACCGCAGTTGACTACATGGGAGTCCAGTGATGTAACCATAAAACCATCTGCTGGTCCCTAGAACCACCTTCTAATGTGAACAGTAACACAGCAACACTTGACACATGCCTAGTTCTTACCATCATTTAAATCTTGTGCCTCCTCATGAAAGAATCAGGTTTGGGCACTGGAGCCAGACAGCCTATACTTGACCCTTGTCTCTGCCGGTTGCTCACCCTATAACCCTGGTCGGGCTACATGGATTTTCTCTTCCACAGCTGGAAATGGGATTGATCACAGGACCTACATCACAAGGTTGTTGTGAGGACTGAATGCTTAATGTCTGCACAGTGCTTAGAATAGTGCCTGATACCAATATGCAAGCACACTTAAAAAAGTTCTAGGAAAAATAGAAAGTATATTTATTTTGGTGTAAAACATTTTTGAAATCCACACATAGATTTTTTTATATAATATGCATTTTCCACGAACTATATGAAGACCTCACATGTACATGTTGGATAATTTTTTAAATATGCTATTATTCCCTTTTATGGATTGTGGGACTTTGGCTTTGCAGAGTTACTTGCCGAAAACCACAGTGGTCGCAGGCAGTCTGACTCCTGCTCCACACTCATCCACTGAGCTTGGCAGAATCTTGAGCATGTTCCCTGGGGTGAGGGGGGTGCTGCAACAGCTGTGCTCCCCACTCCCAGCTCCCCAAGTCAGCTCCAGGCTGAATGCTCAAAGCTGGTCTTACCTGATATTCCCTAGCGTAGCAATGATGAGCCCCAGGGCCAGCCCATGGGCTAGCGCCGGCTGCAGTAGCCCCGTCTCCTTCCCGTTCTCGATGACCGACAGGCACCCGATGAAGATGAAAAGGGCAGACCCTAGCAATTCTACGAGACAGGGCTGCACGAACTGTTCATACCAGGACACACGCCATCTGCCGCCCATGCTCAGCTCCTTCATCTTGCCAGTGCCAAATTCAGAGTCACACATAGCCACCTGCCATTGGGGAAAGGGCGAGAGGACGTGGCTAGAGGGAGAACCCAGATGGAAGCCCCTGGAGACCCAGCCTCGAATTACCTCTCACCACCCCTCACACTGTCAGGGTACAGAAGATGCCAGCAAGAAGCTCACCTCTCCAGACATCAGGGTGATGACACCAGACCTGAGCTCCTGGCTGAGCTGCTGGGAAGCCCGCACCTGCAGCCCTGGGCACTCCTATCTCTAGGATAGGAGCTACCAATCCCGCTGCAGGCTCTGCCCCTTTTAAAGGGCTGTAGCAGCTACTGAGGGTGCCGAGAAAGCAATAAAGCCAGGGTGGGAGGTGGCACTGAGGTCCAGAAAAGGAAACTCTTTTTTTTTTTTATCTCAGTGGGGCCAAGCTGGGGAGGTGGGGGTGGGAAGGTGGTTCAAGGATTGCTGAGCTTTCTGCTAACAAGGGGAAAAAGTGCTGGGCTGATCGCCTCATCTGGGGAACCCACTCCAGGCCCTGCATAGTAGGAGGTGTAGGGCTCCAGCTCCCCAGCTCCCCACAGTCCCAAGGAGACCAGTACACATAAGTGGGCATAAAGAGGCCCCTACTGGGTTGGCACCTCCCATGTTAAGTAACAGTAAAATTATCTTTAATTTTTTTCTAATTTGACAGACTATTTTTTTCTTGAGAGATTTTTGCTATACGGTACGTGCATTCATTCACCAACGAGACAGAGAGACAGACAGAAAATGAGAAATAAGCTCCCAATGGTGATGGCCATGCCTCAATCCCTTCTCCTCCATTCTCCTCTTGGGATTTTGGGCTTGCATGCACAAGCGTGAGTTTTAAGTCACTGAGTCCAGGACTTGAACTGTAGTCAACTACATGAGAGTCCAGTGACATAACCATTATACCATCCGCTGGACCTGACAAATTAAATTTAATATACAGATTAAATAAAACAAAACAAAGGGGCCAGCAGGTGGCATGGTAGTTAAGGCATTGGACTCCCACATGATTGACTATAGTTCAAGACCCAGACCTGGTGGCTTGCTTTCTCTTGCTTTCTCTCTCTCTCTCTCTTTCTCTCTTTGTGTCTCTCTCTGGTGAATGCACATGTCCTATAGCAAATTTTAAAATAATAATAATAATAAATTAAATGAAATAATTCTTTTAAAAAAGCAACAAAAACAGCATTTACAAGAAATCATTCAAATAGCATTTAAAATAATTTTCAAAAAAATTTCAGCAAAAATACATAACGAGAAGTTACAGCAGTCTTGAGCACCATGCTTCAGTGTCACCACTAATTCTTCGATTCAGAAGCTGTTACTTGACTTACACAGATAACAATGACTTGATGTTGGGAGTTAAACAGTTACCAGAAGTCTCGCTAAGTAGGTAAGCATGTCATACACAACGGATGCTAATATTTACAAAAAGGACCAATTATTAAGTTACAGAATTTGTTAAAAGCACTTGTTAAATATAAAAGTCAATGCCTCTGCGATAACTAAAGGCAACAATGAAACATATGCTTTGGCAAAGTAAATTTACATCTTATATTTAAGCTTCTGGGTGTTTTTTGTTTGGTCTATTGGTTCTTTTTCTTCTCAAGACCAGCTAGGTTTCACTAATTTTTTTCCCAAAAATCTTTCGAATTCTGATTCCACTGCATTCTGAAAAGATCAGCATTAGCCAAGAGGAATTGTAACAGAGAGAACAACTTGTAGGTGATAAGTTTATTTTAGGGGACACTGTCTGCCAGCAATTTAATCTATGAGTGGATCTGTGTCCAGCTTCCCCGGCCTGTGAGACATTGAGAGGACATTTATTCATATTTGCTGGCACTTCACTGTGAGGGACAACTTCTGTGCTTCTCTCCTTGATGAAATCATGATGCAGACATATTCACCCTTAACTCTAGGTAGTTGGCTGTTTCTTTCCATGGATTCCCACAGACCTCTGCTCCTACTGGGAGCACACAAACCAGCACTCACTCTCATCGGCTGTCACAGGACAGAGTGTGTAGTGATGATTCCCCACTGATAAAGGCAGCAGAGACATGCAAGGGGCAATGCGAGGTGGCAGTAAAGCCCTTGGACCTTGGACATAGGTTGCCTGGATTTAAATCCCAGCTGTGCTGTGAACTGGCCACGTAACCTTGAGCATGTGACTTATCTGTAAAGTACGAATGAACATCATAGAACCGATGCCATAGGGTCATTGCAAGAGGTAAGTGAATTAATACGGAGGTCTTCAAAAACTCCATGGAAAATGAGCATTATGAAAAAGTGCGTGGATTTAAAAAAAAATTGCACCAAAATAAACTGATACTTTAGTTCCATTTTCCATTAACTATTTCAAGTCCTTTTGTATATATAAAGTGCTCAGGACATGCCAGACACAGTAAACATGATATCAATGTCCATTAATTTAGAATATATAGTAAGGGCCAGCTAGGGAGTATGGTGGTTAAGACAGCTGAATCTCACATGGCCAGCTGTGTGGTTTGAATCTCCAACTTGGTGGCTTGAAAAACATGCTGGGCACACGTGTGTGCATGACCAAAACTCCCAGAAGAGAATGAAGGATAAAGGATTATGGCATGGTCATCCTCCCCTTGGGGGTGCTTTCTCACTTTCTCTCTCTGTCTCTCTCTCTTTGTGTCTTTCTCCAGCGAGCTCACATGACCTGTAGCAAATTAAAAAGAGAAAAAAGAATATGTAATGAGGTATAATCAATATAGATGGAGCACTTTATTTTTCCTTTTGCATTTATTTATTTAGTTCTTCCATGAGCAAGAGGCAGAAAGAGAGAGTCGTATCTTCAACAGGGTCTTTTTTTTTTTTTTGAGAGATATTTGCTACAGGGTGCATGTGCTCTCCAGAGAGATAGAGAGAGACAGACAGAAAGCGAGAAATCATCCCCCAGGGGGGATGGCCACGCTGCAATCCCTTCTCCTCCATTCTCTTCTCGGGATCTTGGGCATGCATGAACACATGCCTGGTGTGAATTTAAGCCACCAGGTCCAGGATTTGAATCATGGTCGACTACATGGGAGTTCAGCGCCATAGCCATTACTCTAACTGCTGCTCCCTCCAACAGGGTCTTGACACGTGCATGCCTGGCATT